AGAAACTAATGTTCATATGTAAAATAACAAAAAGATCAAACTACATACAAAAGTTATTAAACGACTAAAAAAAATTTAAAAGAATTGAATTAAAATTGAGTTAAATATAATAAGTAAAACTGTAATTTACGAATTATATTGTAAATAATCTTTTAAATGATTATAAATATTTTTTGAAAATCATTTTTACATTAATCTTATGTATTTAGAGTATTATTTTTCAAATATTATTCATAAAAATCATATCCAAATAAGTGTCATAGAGTAAGCATTTTAGTTACCAACTTCAATGACATTCTAAACTTTTTTAAAAGTTGAAATTGAGGCAAAAGTAGTAAAACCCCTAAAAAATAAACAATTCGGTATCAATTAAAAAAAGATGGTACAGATTGTTATACGCCTTTTTCTATAACAATAACAATATATTCCCATCAAATCAGTAAATATATATATATATATGGTGAGAATCGTAATTCCAAATTGGCCAAAATGTGAATTAATTTTATTATAAGGTATCTATTTCTTCTAGCTAGTGATTGAGTTGGTATGGAGTCAGAATTTGAAGTAAGAATCTTTGGGTTTAAATTTTGAATATTTAATTCAAGATAGCTACTATGCATATATATATATATATATACACACACACACACATGTACTCATATTATTTTCTTAAATATAATCGTGCTAATTAATGGAAGATACAAGCTATTTTTTAGTTGGATACAAATTTTATTTTGTAAAAATATATTGAAAGAAAGTTTTGTTTTTGAAATTTGGACACATGGGAATATAATGATAAGAAACAGTATTGTGCAAACAAGAATGTTTGTCTTGTTCTTCAATTTGAAATCTTGAAAATATTTAATTTAAAATGCGACAGCCTTTTTATTGATGGGGATGCCAAAAGCTAAGTGACTTTATGATGAGCCCTTGGCTCAAAATTGTAGGCCATTTCTATTTTATAAAGACAGAGAGGGTGCCCTGCCACAGGACACACACACTACTGTTTACAGGCTTTGACATGAGATACAGCCTGTGGGCTGTTACCAAAAGCCATCATTGCTTAAGTGCAAAGCTTATATATATATTATATACCCCGGCATGGGCCACCATCATGCTTTTTTAATTAAATTTTACCCAATAAAAATTAATTAATTAAATATTATATAAAATTCTCCCAAATTCCAATGGCTAATCATTTGAATTTTATTTAATTTAATTTTTTTTGGGGGGAAAGATTCTCTATGATCTTGAGTAAAAGAGACGGGTGAGTTACTTTATAAAAAGTTTCTCCCAAAATCCATGGTTTTATGTTTTTGTATTAATAATTATTTTATGAATGATTTATATTTATATGTATATGTGTCCATAGAGACATAATCTTTTGGGGTTCAAACAAGTTTGGGATAAAAAATTTCATTCGTTGAATAAAATTTGAAGATATAATGATAATCCCAACCCATTTAACATGATAATAATACAAAATAAATTAATTATTGATTATTTAAATTAAATTTATAAATGAATCTCCCATAAATGTTAAATTCACCATAGTGGGAAAAAACAAATAAAAGATTCAAAATTTTTTGAAATGCAAATGATGAATCAAAATTTTAAAGCCTAACTTTTTATTTTATTTTATTATTTTATAATAATAAGTATTATTATTGGAAGTGAAAAAGATGATGATCTATCAATCAATTAGACCAAAAAGATTACTAACTTTTTAGATATACCATTTCAAAAGATTACCCACTTTGGTAATAATCATCATAGTTTCAGAGGAGTGAATTTTTTTTTTTAAAATAATAATAATTCCAACATTAATTTCTTGTCTCCTTCTCCATCTACTTTTTTTTTTTTTTTTTTTTTGTTTTTACATTTTTCATCCGAGGAGATACAAACACACACACACACATATATACACACCCATATATATATATATATATATGTATGTGTGTATGTAAATGTAAAGATTTTGGCGGGAAAACAATGGTTGACAAAAGAAAAGCTAAATTAGCTACCCTTGATTTGTGTTTATAGGATTACTTTTTAATCAATTTGCTTTTTCAAGTTTTTGTCTTAGTTTATTTTGTTTTTTTATATGGAAAATGATTGATATATTGCGTGATTATTGCATAATAATGAAGTGATCAGCTTGTGATTTGTGTTGTGCGACAAAGACTTTACAATCCACGGTCATTACCTAATACTTTATCAATTTAAAATCATATTCATATGTGACTAGTACATATATGATTTGTTCTTCATGCTGGGACACCCTAATTATATATACACATATTACACACACACACACACACACACATATATATATATACACACACACCCTAGTTTTGAGCTATATGTGTTTCCTTAATTAATAACTAAACCTCAAAAGTTTAACAGAGAAATGAGGCAAGTCGAGATTCCAACTTTTTAGATTTCAAAATTTATTTATATCTTTAAAATTCTAGTTTGAAATATAAACAAAGAACGCTGGGATAACTCTTGAATTTTATTTTTTAAGTAGAGACATTTAATTTAATTTAAATACTTAATTGGTTTTTGTCTTATTAATTTTTTCATTAATTTAGTTGATGTACTATTTTTGAGTTAAAATAAATTATTAATGTATTTTGAAAATTATTTAAATAAATTGTTAACTATCAATTGCATTTAACACTGTTAATACATATACTATACTATGTGACTACATCAATGGTGATATTACTCAGGTGATCATGTGTTGATATGTGCATACATGTAACAAATAAGATTTTTGACATTACAAGATTCTTGATAATATAAAACAATTATTAAATAACAAAAACTACATGGTCATGATTGTTTCTATATTGATTTTAGATCAATTATTATAGAAATATAAAGAAGGATTGTGTATTGGAAAATCTAAAACTCTTATTTTTATAGTAACTAAAAGATGATTATTTCATAAATTAACGATGATTATACTCTTGTGCAATTCAACAATATAGCTAAAAATCATCTAGCTGATGAATTAACCAAGTCAGAGGTGAATAAAAAGGCTTTAAACCATTTCATCATGCTCTTAAGCATTTTCAATTTCTTCTTATTGTGATTTGCACATGAGGTAATTTATTAAGTTGTGTAGTACTCCAAGTTTTTATTTGATTAGATCTTTTATTAATAAAACAATTCTTACCTTTTAACAAAAATTAATTTTTGCACCTCTACTGTACATTTTTTTTTTTCCTTAAAATCATTACCTTGAACTAGATATAGAATGGTATTGATGTTAAAATTTTACTTTATATTTTTATCTTATAAAATTTAAATTTAAATAAAATTCAAATTCAATATTATTAAGAAAAAATAACAACGAATGAATCGAAACATGAGTTGATATCTCTAAAAAAAATTCAAATTTAGTAGTTGATTTTCTTTTTTCTATATATATATATATATATATAGTTATAATTCAACTAACTTATAACTATCTCAATATTCCACTGAAAAAAAAAATCACATCTCTCCCATAAAATTTAGATACGTTAGAAGAGCTTTAATTAATGGAAGAGAAGGATCTATATGAACTGAAATCTAGGTATGTCCCATAGTTGTGAGGTTTTGTATGATCTAATCAAGGTGATCATTGAGTAAACTATTTATTTTCATTTCCAATGTTTGCTTTTTTTTATTAAAAAAAAAACAAAAGAAAAATTGGACGCCATACTTGGGAAGCTCAATATTATTAAATATGTACTTTAGACCGTCTAATGTGTGTGTGTGTGTGTGTGTATATATATATGACTAGTTATTGGGGATAATGAAATCCTAAACAACTGAAATTAGGTTAATTTTTTATGGGAAAAATCAAATTGGTTTTTTACTTAAATATCCACCATCCCGGGGCCAAACAAAAGCAAAAATTATATTAATGTGTTATTTTTGTTTTTCTTCTAAGAAACAATATCAAAAAGCATTTGGATGAAATAATTAAAATTCCAGCTTAAAGATTTTTTAAATTATC